AGTTGCGTGTGGATCCAGCTACTCCCCGCGCCGGCGGGGATCGCATTTCCTAGCGTGGCCGGTTCCCGCTGAGGTCCCGGGAAGCGCGTGAGTGAGCAGCGTCTGTTATCGATCACGTATATGCTATAGGCGCACATGTGTTTTCTACGGATGCAACACATTTATTGGGCTGCAGGCTTTTCCTAATGACACCGGGCATTCGGCCTCGAGGGGGGATGGCGCGCAGAAGAAGGGGGTAATAACGAATTAATTGCAGATGAGAAGTAATATCCGTCTTTGAGTCATCAGTCTTTGAGGCATAATTTCATTCCGAAAGCTCTTAATCAAACTGGAGATCTGCTATAGGAAAGCACTGCTTTTCCCATAGGATTATCAGATTTCCACCAGAGAATACAGATCCTGGATTATTGAGCTACATGGGATTTGTGTGTTTCTTTCTAATTAGTCTGTGAATCTGAGTTTAAAATTCTTTATGTGGAAGGGGGTGGGGGAACATTACTTGCTTCTAAAAGAATAGATGTCTCTTTTCTCTGATATTTTACACAGTTATTCTGGTTATCCTGTGCTCTGTAGATGATTTACTGCCTTAATTGGATACTGGTGTCAAAGGTTGATTAGACTCCCTAATAGATTTTGGATCTGCAAGAGGATTGCCGTTTTAAATGCGTGGTTAAAACAATCGAGTTTGCCATCTCCCCTCGAGCAGTTGAGAGGAACACTGATGTATTACATTTGCGTTATCTTCTCTTTGGTTTATTAATGTATCATCATGAGGTTGTCGGGTTTGGTTTTGTTGTTGTTTTTTTCCCCTCTGCTATTTCATTTGCAGACCGAAAAGAAATGAATGTCAGAGAGGATTTGTTTAATCATTTAACAGCTGACACAAGCCATGTCCCTAACAAAACATTGGTGAAAGAGTAGAAGATTTCTGAGATACAGCAGCTCTGGTGCCGTGAAGCCGCTTCAGCGGGTCAGGGGCAGCGTTTGCTGAAGGATGCAGTAGCCCAGGACGAGGTCGATGGCTTGCATGGAGCTTCTCTACCTGGCCGAGGAGAGCAGGCAGATGCCCCTGGGCACCGCTGCCGGCTGGAGCCTGCCATCCCCCCCCTATGAGCAGCAGCAGCAGCCTGAGGGGGGTGAAGTGGACCCCAGAGCAGCCGCTGCCGTGGCAGCCCTGCACTGCGAAAGGCATTGCAAGCCCTTGCAGAGGGGCCCTGTGGCTGAGACCCCCCCGAGCACCTTTCCCCAGGAGCACCCTGCACCCCCAGGCACCTCCCAGCCCTGCCACCCACCTGAGCACTTGCCCGGGGAAGAAGACGGAGGGAAGAAGAAAGCCTGCTGCTGTGCCCAGGAACTCGAGACATCATTCACCTACGTGGATGAAAATGTAAACCTGGAGCATGCAAGAAGTACCCCCAGTCCTACAGGCGGCCGCTGCCAGGATGCCCCTCTGCAGCAGCGTTCCTGCAGGGAGCTGCCACCTGAGTGGGTGCACGATTCTCCTTCCCTGGTCTCTGAGGAGGACGATGCTGCCTCGGAGGTGGCGGCCGGGAAATCTGTGGACTATGGGTTCATTAGTGCCATTTTGTTCCTGGTGAGTGGCATTTTGCTGGTGATCATTTCCTACGTGGTACCCAGAGATGTGACTGTGGATCCCAACACTGTGGCTGCCCGGGAGATGGAGAGGCTGGAGAATGAGAGCGCTAGGATCGGGGCTCACTTGGACCGCTGTGTTATCGCCGGGCTGTGTCTCTTAACCCTGGGGGGAGTGGTGCTCTCCAGCCTGCTGATGATGTCCATGTGGAAAGGGGAGCTGTACCGGAGGAGCAGGTTTGCGTCCTCCAAGGAGTCTGCGAAGCTCTATGGGTCTTTCAATTTCAGAATGAAGTCTGGTGCAAACGATAATATGCTCGAGCTGTCATTAGTTGAGGAAGATGTGCTTGCCATAGATAATTAGTGTGGTCATGATTTTTAAGGTAGTGTTTCTACAGGAAAATATGTTTCATTAAAGAAAACAGATGCGGCTAAAGATAGCTGGTGATGCAGTTTATTTGTCCGACAAGAATGGTTTTTTCTTAAGCTCTATAATCGAATGTTTGCAGTATATGAGCAGTTGTTGTAAAGGGAAAACGTGCCAGAGAAAATGCAACTGATAGAAAATAATGAGAACCACTGAATAAAAAGAGATTTGTGATAAGTAGGTTCCTCAGATACTCGTTTATCCCAATGTAAAACAGTCCATTGGTGTCCTGCCTATATAATTTTCTTATTACTCCCATATAGAACCGGAATGACTTTGACACTTTGGAAGCTGTTAATTATTGCAGCCTGCAGGATTATTAACAGTCTACTTGGTAGCCTGTTAAGAAGCAGGACCAATAATCAAATAGCAGGGCTAATATTTAATTAAGAGAGATGCTTTTTTATCCTTTAATTTTAAGCTGATCCCTTCTCTTCTATTGAGTGAGAGCTAAGGGAAAAAAGAACACCGCTTGGTCATGACTTGCCACAAACCTCCCATATTTTCAAACAATTGTACAATTAGTGATGATTATTTAAAATAGAAAATAAGAGGCAAAGGGCAGGGAACCATATGGCTCATGGTATTGGTAGGAGACAAAAGGCTCTTTCAGCTTGAGGTCAGTGGCTCCATTTCAGTTCAGATTAGCAATGAATGATAGTCATTAACTTCTGATAGCTATAGTGACCCATATAAAAGAAGTTTAGTTCCTGGTGGACAGATGTCTTTGTATGAAAACTGCCATAACTTGAATTAACTGACCTCTTGTTTAGAGTCTCAAAAGACCCAAAGAGTGAAAAAGCATAGGGATGCTGAGACTGAACAGTTCTCCTTCAGTACGGATGCCGGAAGAAATTCAAGCTCAGCTGCAGGGCTTTGCTTATACTGGGGCTGTCTGCATCTTGCTAGTCCTTTTGAAACTTCAGTTTTATGTCACTAGGCTGTCAGCCTTCTCATAACCAGCAAGGAAAGGTCAGGAAGGAGCTTTCTGGGGCTCATTCAATAAAAACCAATTTATTTGTAAAAAATAAATTGTCAGGAAATACAAAGGTTAAATATCAGGCAGTTTACTGGCTGATACGGGACTTGCTTAACCTAGGGGATGATCAAGGGTACATGTTGTTATTAATCACAGTTCTGTGGCACAGTAGCCAAAAACCTGTACCACTGATGCTATTTAGTTTATTGTCAGCCAGTTTCTGTGGAACATTAAAGTTGTGTTCTTGCAGTGCTGAGAAAACCAACAAAGATTGTTGAATGCACCGCTGTCAGTTCTTACTGAACAGTGGTTTATATATATATATATGTCCTGTTAACATATATATGTATGTTAATATATATATCTCTGTGTCCCTGCCAAAGCCAAACGTGAGTGAAGAGCTCTGTCTGTACAGTCCCTGACTGCAGAGTCTTAGTAGAAACATACGATTCACTGTCACAGCCTTGTCAGTCGTGAGTTAAGTCTCAAATATCAGGAATATCAAATATTTTTAAAATGATACTTTTTTTCCCACTGTGACATACCTGAGAAGAGTTGTTTTGGGAAGGGGGGAAGAGACCTTTATGCCCCCTTTACCCAGGAATATGTGGCAGCACAAGGTTCAGAATAACAAGTGGCAGGTGGAAACGTGGGGTCCTCACGCAGAGAGACTGAATGCTATTTTGCCACCTGGTTCCTCATTCCTTCTTCTTTGGCTGTTCATGTCAGGAGACACGTGCAGCACCTGAGTTGGGCACTCACCTAGTTCAGTCCCTCCTGCTTGCAAGCCAAGGGTGCTGGTGCGGGTGCCTTTGACCGAGGGCCTGAGGAGCTGCGCCGCTCCAGGTTCATGCCTTTGGTCACTGTAAATAGCATGGTGTGGTACCCAGGCTTTAACGTCAGCCCTGCAAAAGAGATGCTGCTTCAGATGTTAACTGCTCTAACCGCCGCTTTAGTTCAGTGTTATTTAGTAATTAAATGAGCAGCCTTATTAGGTGGTGCTGCTGCCTAATAGATGATTTTGCCAGTTTATGTCATGATATGGAGTGTGTTCGCAGGCAGGAACTCAACAGTGGCCAGCATCTCTGCACTCGTCTTTGGAGAGCTTACATCCCTCTGGATGTGTCATCAGGGATTCAGGATTGAATTTCTAGGGTAAATAAATGGAATAGCTTCCAGATGTAAGGAGAAGCCTTCAGCCTGTTGTGATTGGTGAGAGCGAGGAAGGAAATAGCCTAAGAAGCAGGACACGGAGGAGGAAGGCTCCTCCTTAGCTGGCCTATGCCTGCTGGTGGGTACATGGACACTGCCTGCCGGGCCTGACACACGGCTTGAGGTGGGGCGGTGGGGACAGTGCTGCCTCCCGTCCTGCCCCGAGGACGGGAAGAGGCTGGCCATGGCCTTCAGGAGTCCAGGGAAAGCCGTGCCAAGTGAGAGGGCAAACGGTGCTGAGCCGGAGGCAGCAAGACGGTGTGGGGCAGGGGACAGATGTCGTGGGGGATGAAAACCCTTTCACCAGCCTGGGCCCCTAACGGGAATCGCTGTACTCACCTACGCGACAGAAGCTCTAAAACTGAGGCTGGTGGTTTTGAGAGCCATTATTTTTATTTTTTAATGATACATGTGCATAAAATTGGAGTACATTCCATTATTGCAGAAAGATGACAGCTAAAGCTGTAAGGATCACAGATTTCTTGTAGGAACCATGGCATGCCTTAATGCTGATTATTAGCACTAGAAAAGGGAACGCTCCCCTGACTGTCAGTATGTTATTATCAAATGAGAAGTTTTCTGACACTTTGTAAAATGCCTGTCAAGGATCATGAGCCTGCAATACTTAAATGAACCCTCAAATTTTCCCTGAGCATTTTAAGGAAACTTAAATCAACCTAATAATCTAAATATACACTGCAGAAGTGTGAGGAGTAAGAAAATTTAAGTAACAGGACTAACAGTTTCTTTATTTTGGTGTTAGCGTGCGCTATGAAAGAGGTGAAGGAAGGCCTCCAGAGTGCAGGAGTTTAGCAGATAAAAACTCTCAGGACATTTCTCTGATCACCCAACAAGACACCTTTACAAATTACAGGACTGTGTGGGTTGGTGGTGCGATATAAAACCTCTGGACTCTCAGGTTCTCGTGCTGTGTGGTGTGACAGAGACCAAAACACTTGCTGTCTGGTGGCTGATGGTGGAAAATGAATGTATTAGCCCGCTGCCCGGTGGACGAGCCTTCGCATCGTTCACCTTGCATGAGGCGGTACCAAAGGCTGAGGCCAAGGGAAATTAATTGCCCTCTCGTGCACCCTCACAATTTGATTTCCCCTGCTCAAAAATTAAATGCTTTAAGGGTACAAGTGTGAGAAAAATTGTTGGGTTTTTTTTCGTTGCCTGGGGTAAAGTTGTCACATGGATCATTGGAGAGCTTTCTTCTTTGGGGATCTAAATTTTGGGGTGTACCAGGTGAGTTTTAGGTGCCCCCTGGAGTACCCCGGGAAACATATCGGGATTTGTGCCGTCAGTCAGTTTATGTCTGACCGACCCTAACAGCGAAACGTGACACTTTCCCATTTTCTACCTCATGACATGTCCGCCGGCCGGGCCCTGCCCTGGCCTCTGCCTTCCTGCCGGAGGGACCCGGAGGCCTGCAGCTGGGCCGGAGGCGCCCGTGCTCCCCCACGCTGCGGCAAGGCGCCGGCAGCCTGCGGCTGGCTCCCCACTGTTCAAACAGCTCCTCGATAACCCGTTTTCTCAGTTTCTTTTTCTCGATTAGACGTGTGTGGCCGAGGCTGGCCATTTGGGAACTGCCTGGCACCTGCTGGGGACTCTCACCAAAAAGGAGGCCCGTCGCCGCACGGTCCCAGCCCCACTGGGGCTGTGGGCACCCAGAATGGCTCCCAGGTGCAGCCGACCTTGCCTTCTCACTGCCAGCCCGAAGCCAGCCCCGCAGCAGAAATGCCTGAGACTCTCTCCTAAGAAGCTATGCTGGGTTGTTGCTGGTTTTGATATGTTTACAGTTTTTTAATCTTTGTAATTCTTTTAAAAATCTGTCTGTAATAAATATAAAGTTTACCAACTGGGAAAGCAAATGATTTAATCTTGCAAAACTCCTTTTTGACCCACAACAGGGTGAAATGTCACAGTTCATCGTGAGCTCTTCAATAGTGCATTTGATGCCTTATTATAATAGCAACAGCGTTCTGTACAGATTGAAAAATAAAAGTCTATAAAGCTGAGCGCTGTCGTCATGGTCCTCTTTGCTCCTCGCTGAATGACCGGTGGCAGTGGTTGACTCTTCCCCTCTGTGCCATGGTCGCAGCCCCTCGTCCTCAGATGCCGGGAGCCGTGGCAGGGCCAACGCGGGCAGTAGGGCCGCCTGGCGAGAGGCAGCGCCAGATCCGGCTGCACCAGTGCACCAAGATTGTCCCGAGCTCACCTGGCGACCATGTCCCTGCCGGCCGGTACTTCCCAGTCAGAAACTGCCAGACAATGCAGGCTTTAAAACTCTGCTATGCCGGTGTCCCACCTAACTCTGTACAACAAAAAAATTAAAGTCAAAAGATGGAGCGTGGGACAAGCCGGAGCTGCGTGAGGCCAGGGAGGTGCTGTGGAGGGAGGTGGGTGTCGAGCCCCTGCCCGCCATAACCATGTGAGTAACCACTTTGGTACCATGTCCTTGCCCTGGCCTGGCTTTGCTGCGGTCAGGGCTGGACAGCAGCTGGTGCTGGGGCCGAGGGCCGAGCCCCTGCCCGCCATAACCATGTGAGTAACCACCCATGTCCTTGCCCTGGCCTGGCTTTGCTGCGGTCAGGGCTGGACAGCAGCTGGTGCTGGGCCCAGTGCTGGCGACAGTGGCAGTTGGTGGACGTGGGGCTCCCAGGGAGCACCGGTGGCAGCGGGTGGTGCAGGGAGAGGCAGGAGCAGTACTCCTGGAGGGCTGCGGGCCGGGCATGGCCATCTCGGCTCGCCCCAGGGAAGACATGGCAGATTCACCTCCCCCTTCCAGAAGGGACACTAGCATGCCATGGCTGTACCAGAGTGATGCAGCGATGGGGGGGTGCTGGTGCGGGGCCAGCAGGAACCGGGGCCAGCAACTGAGCAGGACCTCCAGGGAGCCAGGGTTTGCTCCTGGCTTGCGTTTTTTGTTTCTCCCAGATGCCCAGTGCATGTCAGCTAAGCACCTTGCCACCTCTGACAACCC